AACCTGGAATTGGTGAAGTGTCCGGACATTTATTTATTTGGACAATTCATATTAGAATATTGTGAGGAATCACCTCCTGAAGTTTGTCAAAGTACTTTTGAATCACCCTGTATATCAAGCGCCGGTCGCTTTTTTCACAATAATACTAGTATTTTTTGTTCGTTATTGTTTTAAGCTTATTTGAAAAAAAATATTTCAACTTTTCAATTCGATGTTCTTTAAAAGCGTGTATTTTAGTTTTTCAAACTATGTATATTTATTTTCTGTTATATAGCTATAAATATTTATTCAAAAAGTTTTTGAGTTTGTTTCAATATTGAGAGTAGGCCTCATATTTCAAAAGTAGGTTGTAGTAACTCCCCTATCAATTAATTTCTTATTGTGAGTAATATAGGTCAACCAAGTTCATCTATATATCCTATTAATATGTTGTGAACTTTACTTCATATCGTAGCAAGAATCAATAAACCACAGTTATTTTCCGTCTAAAAATAATGAATTCAATAAACAGTTTGAACATTTGTTGACTTATGCGAATGAATCAGTGGATGAGTAATTTTACTCATGAGTTAGAACCTACAGGTACCACAAACATAATCACTAGTCATTTCTAATGATAAAAAGTATTTCTCACCCATTTCAATAGACACAAGTTTTCCTAAAGGTACAAGTTTTGCTCTCAAAGCATCCCCTATTTGTCGCACTATTTCACCTCTGGAGGGAGCAGGTAAGTCTGCCCAAACTTTCCAAGCAGCTGTAGATGCATCCACACAAGATTCATAGTCATAAAGAGTGCCTTGTTGAACCTCTGCAATAACTTTTCCGTTGCTTGGACAAATGGACTGCACTACCTGGTTGGAAAAATGAAAAAATTTAAATTTCTCTTTTTCAAGAACTTAGGTACATTAATAACTGCAGCATTCGGTAGTGTCGCGCCACTGGCCGATACGTAGGTCCTGGCTGAAGTCAGCGCTCTGATAATGTGACATGAAGACATATCGTCATTTATAATGACTTAATATCACAGCTTACTATAAGTAAGCTGTGTTAATATGGAGCAAGGAAAGATTAAACATGCGTCATCAATAAAATTGGGAAGTTGATCGTCCACATACATCTACCTGACATATTGAAACTAAACCAGATAGTAAAACAATAACAAAGTCCTCACAGCTGTTTTCACATATTTTTATGATTTATTGTGCTTTAATTCCTTAAGTGAAAGTACCTTATTTTACCTATTCATCAGGAGAAACAATTCATCAGAAGGTTCATTTGTATGGAGCAGTTGTCACTTTGTTTCGATTTCATTACTTTGTCCACAATGACGCATGTGTTGTGTATTCTTTCATTCCACCAAGTGTATTAAGCTTCTTCGATAAACGAGTCTCATCGATTACATTAGTTTGGACTAGTAAAAAACGGCGTGAAAAAAAATCAGGCGTATAGTCGAAGTAAACGATATTATGCATAGTTAAGTCTGCCGGCACTCTCAAAGGGCAAAAAAAAACAAATATATGAAAATGAACCGGCAGCAAACTAGTCCTCATGGACTGTAGGTACTAACCAATATTTATGATTGGCTGAAGAGCCATTAAATCAAATTTGATGTGATGTTACGGACGGTTACACATAGAAATCGTGGAATTGCCCCGATGATAATCGCCGTCGTGTGATCAATGTTCAGTTCAGGAACTGATCGCGATTTGAGTGTTGAAATTCGATATTGGTGCAGTTATAATAACTTATGCATTTTGTTACCTGTTTAAAATGTGGAGTCCTTGGACAATTACTAATGGTAATAACAACGCAGACTTTTTCAAGTGTAGTGATTCCAATAGCGATGGTGAACAATAGTTAGTATCCACTAACTATTCGTCTTCGGGTGATAACTGTGAAGACGAATGTGGATACTAATAATCGAAACGTCGGGGAGTAACTTGGTTTGGAATCCTTTAATTTTTGGTCGGCATTTGACAGTCAAATATAGCAATATTGTGTCCAAGGAACATGATGTGACATTAGGAGCTCCTCAGGGATCAGTACTGGGACCTTTACTTTTTGTGGTATTTGTTAATGATCTCTCAGAACAATTTCCACATAATTATGTTTGCAGATGATACCACAATGACAATCACTGGGTCTACACTGGAAGATGTATTAACAAGAGTCAAAGAGGTTATGGATAGATTTACGTCATGGTATGAATGCAATTACTTGATATTAAATACCTCCAAATCTGTTTCGATGAAATTTTATAACAGAAAAAATAACATTCCAGATGGAGTTGGTATTACTGATGAAATAGCGATGTCACATGATGTTAAATTTCTAGGAACCATGTTAGATGAATCTTTAAATTGGGATCTACATATCGATGGGGTTTGCAAGAAACTTAATGCAGCATTCTTGGCGATTGAGCAGATGAAATTGCTTGTAGATAAAAAAATCTCTAAAGTATATATTTTGCAATGGCATATCCGCATATTTCCTTGAATATAATGTCATGGGGATGTGGTTGAGATCTTAATAGAATATTTGTTGCCCAAAAGCGCATTATAAGACTGATTTTTGATATGGATTATCGTAATAGCTGCAAACCTATTCTTGTAAGGGAAAATATATTATCAGTTCCATGCATATATGTATTTAAATGTGTTACTTATGTAAGAAATAATCTTGCATCTTTTGAAACGAATGCTTCTACTCATAATTATCATACACGTCATGGTGGTATGTTAAGGATACCCTCGCACAAATCAAATAAATTTTAAAATTCTCCAATATACAATGCTATCTCACTTTACAATAAATTACCTGATTCATTCAAGGAGTCAAAATATTATAAAACCTAACTATTGTTAATAAAAAATGTTTTTATAGTTTAAAAGACTATTGGAGTGATACTTCCTGGGAATAATTCCCAATGTAATATAATATATGTATTTGTTTTTAAATTGTAACATTTATATATTAGGTGCCGTGTTTTATGTTTTTATATTTATATTTTATCTTTATTCTTCAATTTGTTATTCAAGTATGACTAACTATTGTTTTTATTCTTAATATGTGTATAACATATATTACAATTATTGACTTACCATATGTACATTATGTACCGATAATGGTTAATATTATTATTATTATCATTAATTTTTGGTTTGTCGATTGGTCTAGTAAAGCTTCGATCAGGATCATATGTCCTGCGTTTACTCATGTCGGTTTTATTTTTATACTGATGTTCATCTGCTTTATGAGGTTCTTTTCTCTTTTACCTTGATTCTAGCTACATAGTTTACTTGTGAAAGGAACATTAACTTCATCATAAGCTTCCAGATAATTTAGTAATACATATAGGAGAGCTGCAACATGAGAACAGCGACGCTTTCATTTTTTGTAGATGGCAGGATAAATAGTTTATATATCTGCCTGAATTAGTGGGTTTAGTAAAATAATCTAAAATAACAGAGTTATCATCTTTCCTGATTAAAAGAGTATCTAAAAAAGGTACTGTTTTGTTTTTTTCTTTTTCTATGGTAAATTGAATAAATGGATTGTAATTGTTGAAAATGGTTTTTTTGTGATAAGATATGCACACCTAGATAATGACAAATGAGATTTTGTCGAAACGTTGGTGAAATTAAAGATAATATCACATACATGGATCAAATACCCGAAACACCAGTTTAGCATAGTCCTATCCGTGAGAACTTCAGATTTAACATTCGATACCTAAACGGGAAGATAAGTTTAACTAAGAAGAAGAAGAACTCAGGTAAAATTCAACAACATTAAGTAGTAGGTAGTAGAGCGTTTATGGACATTCTACCTCCGAACACGTAACAAAGACAATTTTACCAGTATAGTAAGAAGTAGGTCGAGCAGGGTCAACCGACTTCTGAACACGTAACAGCACACCTAGATAATGACAAATGAGATTTTGTCGAAACGTTGGTGAAATTAAAGATAATATTACATACACGGATCAAATACCCGAAAAACCAGTTCAGCATAGGCTTTTCACAATAATTCATTCGACTTAATTGTGGGTTTTAAAATATTAGATTGGTTTTGAAATATGGTTTGCACCAAGGCTTGATCCTAGGAAAACTTCATTTCGAATCTATATGAATGACTTAGCTCTTATAGATTTAACAGTCAGGATCACCCTCGATGGCCTCGATGCTGATAATACCACTTTCTTATGGTAGAATGAAGATATTCCTGTTCTCCCAACAAAATTGGAGAATAATAATATTATCTGTAGAGTAGGGAGGGTATGAGTAGGGTATGAGTATAGACCCACAGCACTTAGGCTACATGTGACCCGATGTACATCCTCCCGAGGAGTTGTCCTCCTAGGTCATCATCCATACTGTCGTTTCCAGGAAGGTGGACAGGTCACTAGGAGACAACTCCTTCATATCGGCAGGTGTAGGCCAAGACTCACCGAACACACACCGTCTTATTGACGATAACTCCGCCGTAAACTCGCATAAGACATGCCTGACAGTTTCATTTTCCTGTTTACACATCCTGCATAGAGGTTTGTCCACTAGTCCTTAGTCGACAGTGGCCAGTCAGAAATCCTACTGTTGAGCGTAGGTTTTTCCTGGTCATCGCCAGATATTTCTTCGGTGCCAGCTTCCCAGGGTCGCCCAGAGTGATTATGGCAAGACTACATCTTTTGATTCCATCCCATCTCTTTAGGGATTGAGAATGGGTGTGCGGTTTGGCTAGTTCCGCAACTGTCGAAGGCATCAGGCCGTAGGTGTAACTGGGTCCTAAAATTCTTCTTTCTTGGCTAAACAGTAAATACTTTTACTCCTGTCGTGCCCTTTAACCCAATTCAGGCTTTGTCTAAATCTTGGAGGCACTCTAGTACTAGCCCTTAGGCTAGTTCAAGGCTAATAGGGCTCGTCTACTAGCAGTGCAGTTTGTTACGATTTTGCCAGAAATTCCCTTTCTAGTTATTTCTTTTGTGGCGATTACCAGTCAGTTCTATTTGAACCTTTTTTCCCATTCCCCATTCAATCCTTAGGCTTAGTGCTCTGGAGTAAATAAATTAACATTACAGTGGACCGATTGAAACCAATTCAGAAATTTAATAGACCGGGAGATTTTGGTAAGTCATTTCTTACAGTATGGCGCTTTTATGAGGGTTCATATAAGAACGTATTGAGTGAAAGGAAAATGATGTTCTTGCCGGTTAGAACATCATTTTTCTTTATTTATTACGTATATGAACCCTCTTAAAAGCGCTATACTGTAAGAAATAACTAACCAAAATTTTTCACCATCTTCCGGTCTAGAACAACTCCGAAAATAACTCTACTATTTTCGCTGTCTTGATAAATGTTATTATTGTTATATTTGTTTTGATTTCACGAATAATTAAACTGAAATCTGTTAAAGCGGGACCCCCTTTGGAATCCAGCACCCTTAAGGTAATAACCTAAAACACCAAAAATATAAATGTGTTTCCAAGCCATCAATATAATTTCAAAATGTTTTCGGTATAAAGGAGCTGTAGCTACAGTTTCCACGACACGGTCATTTACACGGAGATTCAGCTGACCTAATGGTATTCTAGGAATCCGTTATCAAGACACGCACTTTAACATTTTGTTCGATATTGATTCAATAATTATAACTGCTGTAGCTCTTGTCGGAGATAGTCGTTCGTTTTCTAAAATCAAAACTTGGAAAGGTGATTGTTTGCCTTGGTTGAACTGTTAATGTTACATTCGTCCAAAATAAAGTCTTTTCAAAAAAGTATTTTCATATATCGCATACGTAACTTCCATAAAGAATGTTTGGAGTACAAACTGAATAAGAGAAATTGTTTTTTGTATTATTCAATGTTTACAAAAAAAAAGATGTTTCGAAAGATTTTTTATTTTGTGTAATTCAAATAATTCCAGTTTATATGGAAGTAGTTGTTACAGGAGGGCTCTTTCTTCCAGTTTGTGTCTTGAAGTTATTTCTTTGATTAATCTACACATATTTGTGGAGTTTATTTTGAAATAATTGCTTTCTTCCTTTCTTTGGAACATTCCCACTTTTTTGTACAAAGATGGAGAAGTAGAAAGCCAAAACCTTCCTTTTCCAAAAAATTCGTTGCCTGTTGTTCTTTTTATACCCATTTCAATGTTCAAAATAATGATCACTTATAATGTGATATTTAAACGGACAGGATAAGTAGATAGGTACTTTAGATACCTTATAGGGCTAGACGAACAGATGCGACAAGGTTGTATTTTTTGGAAAAGAAATGTTTCGGCTTTTTACTTCTCCATTTTCATACAAAGAATATGTAGATCATGCATGATTTACACATATTTGTGAAGAGTTAAGAGTTTACTCTGAAATTAATTGCTTTCTTCTTTCCTTTGGATGTTTCCTACATGTTTGTATTTATATGGAGAAGTATAAAGTCAAAAACTTTCTTTCCCAAAAACTGATCTCTCTTAAAAATATACCTGTTTCAATTTGAAGTCGTATTTTTATTTTGTGATACCTTTAGCAAAGTACATGTACTTTCCTATTTCAATCAAAATTAATAATTACTTACGCACATACTTTTGTGTGTGCTAATTTTATTCAAGGTCAGATAGTTGATATGAGATTTTGTGGAAGTTGGAATGAAAGGATAAACTCCAAACTATAAGAGGTCGGCGGATCTCGCTTTATATACCCCTACCAAGGAGAAGCTCCGAACCTACACAAAAATGGGTTTTATTGGTCTAAAATTTTTCAGAACATTTCACAGTATTCGTGACTGTTTCCCAATGACCTGGGATGTTTCGAGATATTCCCGAATGTTCCAGAATATTTCACTGAGCATTTTAAAAATATTCCTAGACGTTCTGGAACGTTGTGAAATGCCCTAGGATACTCTGGAGTGTTCTGAACTGTTCTAGAAATATCTATAGAGCGTAATTTCCAGCCCTTGTGTCTTTCAAAACACGATCTTTTGCTGAAAACGAAAACTTCCTTGGATAGAAAAAAAAGGACTACCACATCATATAACTGCCACAATTTTTGAATTTTTATCAAGATAACATTGTAATTCCTTTTTACTAAGAATATTGACTGAGAATTGAATTGGAGAGCAGAATTATACTCATAACAAAAGTTATTTTGTTTTGTTTAATTTCAGACTGATAATTTACGAAAAATTCCTCAACTTATTATTGATTTCGTACAGTCACGTGAATGGTGGTCTATAATCTGTTAGAACGTTAGTTTTGATTTTGAAATGAATATTTTCATAAACATTATGTTAATATCACGCAAAGAAAATATCTTATATTTGTAATTGAATTTGGTCTTTACATGAACTTCACACACTCTTGTAATATTTTCAAAAGTAATCAATTACTATACATGGGATTTACATTTATGTTTGTGTGATTTTTGTATATAACAATGAAGTACCTCATTCTTCCTTAACATATAGACTTACAATTACTAGCGACTGACTTGCCCCGGCTCCGCACGGGTGCAATGCTGATGCTAAATATAAATTCCCCCACCGGAAATTCAAGGGCATGAAGAAACAGTGATGAAAAGATAATTTTGTTTTATGGACGCGCCTTTTCCTCCCGCGGCTGGCGCCCCAGTTGGAATATTTATAAATCCTTTCTTATTGCACATCTACAATATATCAGCTGTGCAGAAATGGGGTCCTAAAAGTATGAAGTAAATGAAATAATAGTGACGATGGAACGACAAACCAGAGTATTTCGTAGTTTTCAAGTTTAGCTTCGACGACTCTGATATTCCATGAATTGATTTTTGAAACCAAATCTTGGAGTTTTTTCTACATTCCACATTTCTTTGAAAAAAAAATCATAATTATGTTTAGGAAACTTCTGGTGAAATTGTAATTGAAAAAATATTTTTTCACAAAATATTTATAATTTGAAATTGATGTATTACAATAGGTCGCTATCTTATACAGTGCATTTCTTTAATGTCTTCCCCCTTTTATTTTTTGAATGGATCAACTCAAAAAATTGAAATTTGGGATGATGAAATTAATGCATGAATAATTTATTTTGAAGTAAAATTAACAAATGAAACTCTCGAGATGGCGACTGGGCGCCATCTGGGAAAAAACATGAAAGGGAAAGGGAGGTCTTGTGACATATCAATTTGATGCTTCCGACGAATACTAGAATATGAAGTCAATATCTTCAACCACTACAAAATGGAGGAACTTTCAATAATTGCCTGAATACATTGTCATTTAACTACATAATAGGAAGTAATAAGCTTGAGGTCAGTTCAGAAGATGCTCGAAATGGTTGCTTCGAACTTCCTTGACATATGAACAGCCTATCCGATATTTCACGCCGAACATTTTCGAACATAGTAACGTCAATATTTCTACAAATATTTATTATTTTCTGCCGTATATCCAGGTTTTTGTTTCGTACACCTTTTGATTCAGATAGCCCCATGAAAAAGTCCAAAGGTGTCAAATCTGGCAAGCGGGCTGGCCATTCTGTAGGACCTCGACGGCCAATCCAACGACCGGAAAAAGTATTATCCAAATAGTTTCTTACTTGACTGGAGTAATGTAGTGGTGCTCCATCTTGTTGGAATACAATATCCATATCGAATTCATCAGAATTCGCTTTGACGATTGCAGTGATGAGAGGATCAACAGTAGTTTCCAGCATATTCAAATACAGTTCCCCTGTTGAATTGTGGTCAATAAATAGAGGTCCTACAATATGGTTTCGCAATATTCCTGCCCAAACGTTAATTTTTTCTGGATATTGGGTATGTGTTTCCCGGAAAGCGAGAGGGTTGGTGCCACTCCAATTTTTTATAAACAATAAATAACTTAACAAACCTTATCGGGTTGCCATATGGCAACCCGATAAGGAATATTTCTAGAAATATCGATATTAATGTGTTCGTCTTCAGGAAATTATTAAATGTTCCGCCATTTTGTAGTAGGTGAAGATATTGACTTCATATTCTAGGATTGTGAAGTATTCGTCAGGAGCTTCAAAATGATGTCACAAAAGGGGGTCACAAAACTCCTCTTTCTATTTGATTTTTTTTCCCAGATGGCGCCCAGTCGCCATCTTGAAAGTTGCACCTGTCAATTTTACTTCAAAATAAAGTATTCATTAAAGAAATGCACTGTACAGAACATTGATAAATCAGATATAGAAAAATACTGTTGTTTTTTGGTAAAATAGCTTAATCATACCAATAATTGAAACTTGATCATTTACTCCAAAAAAGGTACCACTTAGGTGGTTGAAATGTGGGAAATATTACACATGAACAACATGGCTGATCTTAAAAACCCGTTTAAACAATAATTTACGTTCATTACATAAGGTAACAAATAGGACTATGGTCATTAGTAATAGCTCAAATAGTTACGAAAAAATTGTAATGAAAATTTGAATATTCGAGAGATGAAAAATGTATTGTAATTCATGTGCAGTCTGAAATACTCAATGAATAAGAGACCAAGGATTTTTTCATTGTTTCTTTTAAATTTCAGAAATGGAAAAAGTGTTGCAATGGGAAAGCGAATCGTTAATCTCTCGGTTACTAACAGACATTTATACAGATTAATCACAAAGATAGCCGGTTTCTTACAGGTATAATAGTACACATCTATCAATAGTTCTTTCTAATGTCTACACAAAGCACTGTTAAAGAAATTTGAAATTATCTAAAAATGCAACTATTCAGCTCCATTTGTAGAAAAAACTCTTTCATTAAAAATTATGAGTGGTGAACAACGAAAGTGATAATATTCCTAGGAACATAATCAGTATAATGTTGATCTTATTGGTTCATTCCGCCAATGAGATGAGAAATGATTAATTCATTTGGGTTTGTATTTTAGCAAAACTCAGAAATTCACCCTCGTTTACAATTCACACATCATTTCTTGGTCATTTTTACCTTGCCAGATCCTTTCCAGGTACCGTCAAACACGCCAGGATTTCTCTCCTCTAGTCCTAGATCTTTCAAGAAGGAATACTTTGTATCGTTGATCAGAAACTCTGAACTTGAAGACATAGTTCTTGTCACAAAACTTCTGTACGAGTTGAACAATCTCACAGGTCTGGTAATTATCATGACTATTTTTAGTATGTTCAGATGAAATTTTTATTTAAAGATGGTTCCACTGCAATTACCGCATATCAGTTCAACATAAGATAATACTGTTATTTCTTTTGACCCTATCACTTATTTGTTATAAGTTGTACGTTATCTGCGTTATTCTATCAGAAGCAAAAGGTCAGGCTAGATAAAAATCATCTCTGGAAAACAGCATTCAAAACTGAATATACAGTATGTTGAGTATTTATACTGAATATGGAATTTTGAAGAATTTTTTGAGCTTCAAATGGAGCATTGGCATATAAAGGAAATGTAAATTCTAAAGAAATTAATAAATTTCATATGATTATGGATACTCCAATACTCCAATTCGTAACATTTCCCAGATTTGACGTAAGTGACAATGTATTTAAAAAATTCATCAATGGGCTTCAACCGGTTTTTTGTTATTTGTCGCACGAAAAAGATGAAATATACAGGTCCTACACAGAAGCTTTACCAATGTTCATTTACTTATATCAAATATACATATTTTCTCTCGTTTGTAATTGAAAAATTATATATGTTATATAGATCAAGCTCATTTGTAAAAATATGTGTATTTTCGCTACTTCTACTGTCGTCCGGTTTGAAACGCGTACGATGTAGTTTTCATCTGTTCGAAGATTCGGCTTTTGTCGAAGCCATTGTCAAGAACTATTTGAAACTGAAATTACATGACTTGACGACGGGGTCGTAATCTATCTTACCCCAAAGTCCCCGTCACTGGCTTTGTTCTTTGTTCCAAGTGACACTGATGACATAAACATTTATAATTTTGTGAAATGGGGTTCAGATAATAATAATACAACATTTTGCCCCCATAAAATTCAAATTTTGATCAGTACGTTGGCATATTTATCTCAAAAACGCAAAATAATGACATATGCACTTCTTGTACCAAGCCACACATATATTAAAATTTGCTAAAATGTAAAGGCTATACAAAATAGTTTGCATATCCAGGAATATACAACCACAGTTAGAAAAATATTTGTAGAAACTTTAACCTGTCATTTCGTCATCCTTTTAATGATACATGTGCCAAGTGTAACAAATATACATTGCAGATCAATAACAGTTTTGATTTACAAGAAAGAAACATTTATGGAAACAATCGTCATCATTTGAGCATGGCCGACAAAACATACAAGAAAAAGGAAAAGGATAAAGCAGCCAGATGCCACAATGACACTATTGCATTTTTGTTATTAGATTTACACAAATGCCTGCCTATTTCTCTACTACTAAACAATATTTCGTTTTGTAAAAGATCCTTGTGGACTTATAATCTCACAATGAGATTGCATATGTTTGGGAAAAGTTACCCAAACATCTACAGGATGACATCGATATAATGAAACATAGATCTTGTTATGAACACCACCCTGATGAAAATTTAGATTCAGATGTTAATGATGGTCCTATACCTCGAAAATCTATGTGTTGTATTCGTAATAAAAGGATGTGGATATCGGTATCAATAAAAATGATATTTATTACAATACAACACCTAATCTCCGTTACTTCAATACAGGGTGGTAAAAAAATACAGTTTTTTCGTTTGCTTGAAAAAGTTGCTGAAATTTGATTATTTTAAATGGAACACCCTGTATATTATTGAAAATTCGGAAAGCTGCTGAAATTTGCTTTCTTTCTATGTATATCATACCTATACCTAACTAGTCAA